TCACTCCAGCTTTGTCTGATAAGCTGAGGAAAAGGGTATTCTGAAACAAGACAAAAAAAGAATTGTAATGTTTCCCATTGTGACTTCGATATATATATTTTTTTATAATTTATAAGTGAAAATGATTCAGCAGATAAATAAAATACTCTTATATTAGTAGCTGCCATTTTAAAAATACGTGACGATTTTTGCGGTTTAGGCAAAAATGTCACGAAATTACAGGACAATAAGTTCTCTCTGAGCAAGGAGGTAGAGGGAGGCGCGGTGGCCTCATGGTTAGTGTGCTCGTCTCCGGATGGGTTCGAGCCCTGGCCGAACGTTGTGTTCTTATGCAAGATACCTTACTTTCACAGTGCCTCCCTCCAGCCAGCGAACGTAATGCTGGGGGTAACCCTGCGATGGACTGGCAACCCATCCAGGGAGTAGTAGAAATACTCCTAGTCGCTTAATACTACAGAAACCGGGATACATATGTAAGCTCCGCCCCGATGGGTCACTTGGCTCGTATGCTGACTTTTTTCCTAGTAAGGAGGTAAGCTTATTCAAACACGAGAAGACGTCTCCGTGCAGCCAAACCAACCTTACGTAACCACGTTTCTCATAATGCAGGAAAAAAAATTACCTTTCTGCATGGGATTCGCATTGTCGGTATTGGACTGGAAATAGCTTGCATCTGAGGTTAATGCAGGGAGTCTTTTCAAGTGCAAATGACATTAATCTCCTTTTAATGATATTCCCTCGCATGAGCCTCGACCCATTGCAAGCTAGTTCCAGTCCATTGCCGAGAATACGAAAATGGCCTATTATCGGATCTACAGTCTTCCAGTTACCACAGAAACGGTTATTACCTCAGGAAAAGGCACTCAGTTGGAGGTTTTAACGTTAAGACCTCCTCCTCGAGGAGCAGCGTCCTTCAGAGAACTCAATATCATCGACGGCGATATCTCCTCTGTATGAGCGGCCAACTGAACCCACAATTGCGATCTAGGAGCGAAAAGATATTGCGACATTAAAGGACCACTAGATTGCGAAGTTAAATGATTATGCTTATTAGTTCCCTAGCCTCTAACTTCTAGGTAATCGTTTCATACCGTAAAATTCCGAAAGCAACGTTTAACGACCATCGTTACGTTCAGAATTAGCCAGCAGTCTTTGAGGTTGCTCGCTTCTTTTGTGGGCTCGTTACTTTCGGGGAGCAAAAAAAGGTTGCATTGCATGTAAGTTGGTGCGTCCACTTTGGCTTATGCAGGGCAAGGTTTTCTTTCAAACTGTTTTCATATATCCAGACATGCATACAAACTGACTTTAATGAACTAATATGAAATGGTGAACTGCATCTTGCGATTCGTGTAAGCCACAAAGCAAACATCCTACCCAATGAACAGTTCCTCGTCGCACAGATCGGACCACTGCAAGTTCAACTTCAGCTAGCAGCCATTTGTCGACACTTATCTCAGATCTTTCCCACTCTTTGTGCAGTTCCTTCTTAAAGTCCTTTCGCGTTGGTATATGGTCATCTTTTTCCTGCTTCACAATCCGCATAACTGTCAGTGATCCAGGATCACCGTACATGTGATACCAGAACTGCATGCAGAAAGACCGGCCCTCAAGTTTGACACGAAGCATGGCTTCATGTCCCGGTCTACGTGGACTGGAACTTTCAATGTAAATGTATTTGCCTTCTTTCGAACGCCGTTGCGGACCTGCAATAAGGGAAGAGTGGCGTGGTAGTCCTGATTGTATAACAATAGTTCAGAAACATTATACGTAGGTAGCAATGATTACCTCTTGAGAGTGTGTGATCAGAAGATGGCCCAGTTCCAGACGATGGTGTTTTTCCTGAATGAATCGTCCAATCAAACTGGTCATCCTTAACATCGAGCCATTTGCATTTCCCTGTATCAACTTTATTCTTACTTTCAAAATTGCAGTTTCCTTAATGAACAAAGAAAAATGAAAAGATAAACATTAATTACACGATCTGAGAAAGAGTTTATTTACTCCTCGATACCCCATTCCCTATATGAGACGCGCTTAGGGAATCATGATAATATGCAATGTCTCGAAGATGTCGTGCGCGTGATGAATACAGCTACCATGCAAGACTCCCTTCGTCATGCAGGGAGTCATGCATAGGGATAATGGCTCACTGTTACTTTCACTTTAATACTCGGTGCTCTGCAATACATTTGCACACAGGTAATGTCGCCAGTTTCTTTACGCAAATGCCGGGTTTTGTCTACTTCAGTTATGAACCAAACCACACTTACACAACTACTTTCTATGCATTTTTCTGCCGTCGCTTTGCTTTACTGCGGTTATAAGGGAGTGAAACAACAAGCTTAACCGGAGAACTTATTGGAAGCAAAGGAAATATTGAGAGCTTTACGGCAGGACACGCATGTCCTGATTGAATCAGACCATTCGGAAGTTATTATCCAGCATCTTTCAACAGAGAATAGCTGGCCATAGCCGCTATAAATAGCAAACTCACCTTCCTTGGGATTGCCTCCCACGTCTCCCTGTTTGGGCCCCAAATTTTTGCATTCCTCAGCATCGCTAACGCTAACTTCATCAAGGGAAATGTCACCAAGATACGAGTTGCCCCGGACACCTACAAATGATACCTTTAACAGAAGAAATGAAAAAAAAAAAAAAAAGAAAGAAAGAAAGAAAGAAAAGACTAGTCAAGTTAATGAGAAAATCAGCAAGTCTGTATCGTAGATAAGTTACAAAATGTTGCATGCTCAAACGTCTTTTTATTCGTCCAAAATTAGGCATTAGTGACTCCTGATTCCAAAAGGGCTCTCAGGTATAATGATGAATTTGCGCAATGACTCTACTTTGGGGGGGNTGGGGAGGGGGGAGGTTGAACAAAAAGCGTAGTAACTCAGGGTTCCCTTTTTTACTCCACGTTCTTTGCAGGTATAATAATGAAAAGGTTAATCCAAGTCCTCTCGATTTTGGGTTGGTAATTTGTCATCTGAAGACATTCTTTACTTTCATGATATTTTGAGCCCAGGGTTACCATTTTTTTGCGCTACATTCTGTGCCATTGAACCTTCTTGGTTCTAACAAAACCTTCTATGCTCCTAACTTACTGTGTAGTGATCTCCGTAGAACGCCTGTGAACCAAAGTGCCAGTAATCCTCTTGATCTCCAGTTTTTGACCAAACAGTCTTTGTTAAATTGTCTTTAAGGTCGCGCTGCTCCAACCGCAGCTCGTTGATGTCCTTGCCGTACATGTGATAGTGAAAATGTAAACAAATTGGAGTGTAAAACTCTTGACTCTCTAAGCGGATCTTTTGACTATTAAGTAGGTCCGAGGCTTCCATATAGAGGTAGTACCCTGTGGGAAGAAAAGAGAAGATACATTTTTACTTACTTACTCCTTTTTCACACACACAAGAAAAGTACTCAGAGGGTTTTTAAGGAAAACAAATGATCGTCCTCTAAATCCGCCTTATTTAAAGCACAATGTTTGGGCCATCTGGGAAAAATAAATTATTTTACTGATGTAACTGTACATTGAGACATTGAGACATTGTAACTGCACATTTAAAAAGAATTCTAGTACAATTTCGGGTTAGAAATGAGCGGAAGCACCTTTTAACTGAAAGGGAAGAATTTGTTTAAAAATTTAAGTTCAAAAATAGATATCATGAAAGTCGAGGCAAGTAAGTGGAAATCTCCTAAGAATCCCAGGTGCCACTGTAACAGATACTCTTTTGTACGACAATAGGTATTGATACGGAAGAAGTAACTTCCTACCATTTCCGTCGCTGTCGTAGTGAGGTCCTGTTTCATAAGATGGCGTGTCACCTTGATGAATCTGCCATTCGCCATCGTCGTCTAAAGCATTTGTCCAGCCACACAAATTATTATTGAATATACAAATACCTATGGTACAAAACAGTCCCGATATTATGACAAAGCAAGCGCCTCAACTATGATAGTACTGACGTTTTGGAAATGTAGATTAAATTCAACATTAACTCTTGGGGTTTAGGGAAAATATTGTCTAAAAGAAACTAGAGTGGAGGAGTAAGTCTGTCTTTAATCCGTGTTGTGTTTATCGCCATCAGTTTATGCTGAAGTGGACCCTTTCTTTCACCCTAAGCATACAAGGGAACATGGATAAATGGGATCCACTTTTGGTATGAACTGGTTATGGTAAACAATTTTCCTAATATGTTTCGATAAGAATAGTTTCTTACTGTATGGTGGTGCCATAGGTATCAAGGCGGTAGTCGGAACTGGTGGCGTTGGAATTGTTCCAGCAGCGACATCTCCAATGGGCCTTATAGGACATAGTCCAGGAGTAAAGCGGAGCTCGTCGATAGCAATATCACCGCGCCATCCAGCCACAGTCGCCTCTATTTCAACCTGTACGAATATGAAATGATTTCCCAATTCAAGATTACAGTAATAACATTCAAAAGCTTTTGCCATCAACCAAGAACGAATTAAGTTAAAAACAACCAATTATTTCAGCAGGGAACTTACCTGGTATTGAGACATACTACAGTCAAAGTCAACCTGGCCTTCAAGCCACCTGTTTCCGTGGTTACCAATTTCTTTCCATACAAGAAATCCTCGCCTGTATATTGACAACGAACCAATGTCCGCCCCATGCATGTGGTACTTGAAGCGCATGCACTGTTGTCCAGCCATCATGTTGCTGACCAGGACGGCTTTATCCCCCGTTGCCTGAGGTTCAGATGATTCGATATACGCATATTTTCCTGTGAATTCAGGGAAGAGTCCATTTTTAGTCAAACAAATATCTTCAATTGTAGCTTTTCATTTCATCAATGGATTGATCAATCAATAAATCAGGGATTGAAGTAGCCAATTATCAAGAGTCATTTAAATATATACCTGAGTGGAGACAAGCTGGCCTGTGACTGAGCGAGTGTGAGAACAAACACACAAACCAGTGCTCGACTCGAACCTGTGCCTCTTGATACGACCAAATTTTGTTGAATAATAGGCATTAGTGTTAGTAGGAATTCTACTCATCTATCTCATTGCTCACCACTGCCAGAAAAATCCGCTGTAGGTCCAGTCATGCCACCGCTTGCTTGCCCACTGTTAGTCTGGCCACTTCCAATACTCCAGAGGAACGTTGATTTCGTAGAGGGTCTCCAGTTACACAATGTTCCTTTGTCAAAATCGCAGTTTGCTAGAGTAGAAGGATAAACGTTCATTTAAAACTTCTGGAATAGCAGTAAGAACTGACTTCCTAATACAATATAATGGACATTTTGGAATTTCGTATAAGTGGGAGATGAATGTGACTGAAAACAGAGTAAAATACTATGACAAACACGATAACAGCTGGCGTTTTGCGAAAACAAAGCAGCTAGCAAATTTCGTAAAATTTCCTCTTATTGAAATATCCAGCTAAAAGTTCCCAAAGGATAATACCTTTCTGCATTAGCTTTCACTTAGTTACTTGTAAAAGACGAAAACGAGATGAAGAAATTTAACAAACATATCTTGAGTATTATTTCGTTGATGATGAGTTCCCTTGTATGCGGGTAGATGCTGCGGTTCAGATCATTCATGCTGGCGGAGGACATTGGTTCGAAGAACAAAAAAAATACATCAGTGGAGATAAATACCTTTAGCAGTGTCCTCAGGAGTGTTGATCATTGGGCAGCAGCTTCCATTTGCTATAAGGACGTCATCCATTCCAACTATTGTGCTTGTGAATTCCCCACCAAGGTTGGCTTCAAGAACAAGCTGTGAAAACAAGATGCACATAGCTGTCATGTTTGAAGAGTCGATCACTTGTACGCGTGTTACGAAGCTTATATAATAACCTTTCTACTCTTAAAGATTAGTCTGTTTTCTTTATTATCAAGACGGTGTAATCCTCGAACGTATAACTAGACTAGGATGTGATTGGGTGGGTAGTTACCTACATGTTACGCCGTTATATCAGATTATTCAGGTTTGAAAAACCCTGTGTCTAGTACACTTTGTGTTTTAAAAAAGTCTAGAATTAAAGCTTTGTCGACCTGTGCCACACAAAACTCACATGATTTTAAGGTGTCTACCCGTGGGTATTGCTTTTAAGAAAGAATATCAGCTATTGCTTATGTTTGTCTGAAGATTAATAGTTTACGAAGAACTCAGTTGTAGTTCAAGAGGCCGACTTTGTCAGCTTAAACATTACCTGAAAACAGTTTTCATCTTCAGCGTTTATTTCAACCACTGCCCTTGTCCATTCCCCCAGTTTACTTTCTTCTCCTGATGAAAACCAAACGCGATCCTCTCCACCATCGTTGCCTTTTCTAGCTAACAGCCTGAATTCACTTTTCTTAGATTTCTCCATGAAGTAGTAAAGCTCGACGCACTTTGGACCGCATACCTTGGCGCTCACTAGGCGATGTTTGGATCTTTGTCTTCCAGATTTCATTGCGTATATAAACTTCCCCCCTGAGGAAAAACACAAAGCCAAAGCAAAGTAAAGTAGTGTGTCTTACAATTTGTTTTTTGAAAAAGTTTAAGAAGTAGACCGGGTTGATAACAAATATCGCGATTTGTCAGCAAACGTGCAGAACAATGAAATATTTCGCAAGCACAGTAGAAGGAGAGGCTTAAAATCACGATATTCAATCATTTTGACATTAGTGTTTTTATTTTGCGTTAGTTTAACAGCTTTCACATTTTTAGTGAAAAGTGCAATTTCTTTTGTTGTTGTTGTTGTATAATTGAGTTTAGCAGGTATTTTCAGTAGTTTCAGTTGAGTTGGGCACAAGCACGCAGAAAGAAGTAATTGAAAGGTGACGCAGTGGTTTCCTTATTGTTTGGTTTTACCTCCAAAAACAGAGTTTTTTTCGTAGATAATTTAGCAGCAGTTTAGCCCTGGAACACGAGTACGATTAAAATACAGTAAACAGTAATTTCAAAGTGACGCAGCGATTTCCTTAGCCACTGAAAACGACGGAAGAAATATGGTTTCCTTTCCTATTCTTCTGGAGGAGCAAAAAGCAATTTGAGGTTGATTCGCCATTCCCTGACCGATTGTATGACCATCACTTATCCCATGCCATGTACATGTACATTCAATACTGAAAACGAAAAACAAGAGTCGAAAATATCTCCTTACCGAGTCTTCCGCCACGGTCCGGTCTTTTGACAACTGACCTCTTACTACTTCTGAACGAACTTAACTTCCACGGACTTGTGTTATCGCTAACCAGATCATTTGCCCACTCACAAAAGCCCAAGTCGAAGTTACATTTCCCTAAAGAGGAAGAAAATGATATGGTAAACATAACACGGGGAAACAGTTTACAACTCATACTTATTTCCAAAGAAGAACTATGTAAGAGGGAAATGTTTTATTGTCCTAAACTTGAAATTCATGCTGTAATTAGGCACTTTATAGCTGTGGTATATCTACCAAAATCTAACACAAGAATTTGTACCATTATAAGATCATTCTAACATAACCGATTTTATAAAGAAAGGTTAACTACACTGCAGGGAGATCTTTAGGTTATTTCAGCCGGGATAAAACACTACAAACAACATTTGGCCGGTTAAAAGAGACGACGCTGTTTTAAAGATTTAAAACTATCATTCCTCTTTAATTATTAGCCTATAGGGAAGCATTTCTGGCACATCTTCATCACTGATCAGCAATAGAAGAAATGTAATTTGAAACAAAACCACTGATTCAAACGTAGGGGAGCATTGAACAACTCGATTGTGGTCGCTGAATCAATTCAATATCATATGTGGGTACAATTCAAGTCGTTATAGAGAGATACTTATTTTGTTTAGTATACCCGAGTTAAAACCATTGCCCGTAGCCTACGTTGCAGGCGTAATATGGGAAGGGGTTGGGAGCCAAAAAAACGTAAGGAAGAAGAACACGCCTGCTACGCAGACTATTGCCCGTTATCGTAGAATAAGCTAAAATGACATCTTTATGTATTGTCGAATACTTGCCTCCAGTTTCATCTGACACATTCTCAAATTCAAAAGACTCTCCGTTGCAAGACCTCTCCGTGAAATAAATGTCGTCAATGGCAATATCACCGGTGTAGCTTGATCCTGTTATGCCTTCAAATATTATCTGAAAACCAGCATAGGCACATGGAGATGTTAGTGACAGCTTCGTGAGTCAGTTGTTCTCTTAAATAGAGCAGTTTTCAAATGAGTGGCTTAAAACAAAAACCAAAAGAATCACTCTAGCCAGTCATAAAGGACATAGACAATCCAGTGACCCAGTAAAACTCGAACTAAATGCATGTACCTGACGCGAAGCGCGGAAAGACGAGTGAGTCAAGATTGATTTCGTTTTACCTCTGATTGCATTAAAAGTGGCGCCAGCTTTTAAGGTAATCGTGTAGCGTAGAAATGCAAAACCAGTTACTTTTACACTCTCAAAGCTTTCCATGGGTTTAACTTCAAAAAGAGTTCAACAGTTTATTCAACAAATAGCATGATTAGTCGCACTTTACCCATCATATGTTTAGTCAAATTGGAACGCAAGCGGCCACGAGTCCAATACAAAATCGAACTCCAAAAGACTGCGTTGCAATCCACTTGGTTCCATCATTATTATTTATATGTTAGCTTGAGCTGGATATGCACCTTCCACGTCATATGTTTAGTCAAACTGGAATGCAAGCGGCCACGAGTCCAATACAAAATCGAACTCCAAAAGACTGCATTGCAATCCACTTGGTTCCATCATCATCATTTAATANGTTAGCTTGAGCTGGATATGCACCTTCCACGTCATATGTTTAGTCAAACTGGAATGCAAGCGGCCACGAGTCCAATACAAAATCGAACTCCAAAAGACTGCATTGCAATCCACTTGGTTCCATCATCATCATTTAATATGCTAGCTTGAGCTTGATATGCCGGTTATAGTTTGCTAGAAATCGTGTTGCTGTTTTGACGTGCTTGTCACAACGTTTGTGCTGCAACCACAAATTTGGCCTAAAAAAGGTAAATTAACGACAGTTTTACGATTTAAGACGCTGGCATTTCGAGCTCGAGCCCTTCGTCAAAGTAAAGACTCAGTAAGTGAGCAGCTTTTCAGATTTCACAGAGTGAACTTACGTAGTAGTTATTTCCATAAACAGTAACGTTATCGGAATGCCATTCTGAGCCGGGCTGTCTTCCACTTTTTGACCATACATCCACGACTTGACCATGAATATGCTGATAAATGATCAAACTTCCAATCGTGTTGCCAATCATACTGTAGTGGAAGTGAAGGCATTTCACCCCACTGAAGGGCCCATTGCGGATCTGGGCATTATCACCTCTTCGTCGAGGGGATGAAGTTTCGATGTATGCGTAATAACCTACATGTAACAGGAGTAAAGCGACGTGTTAGTAACAACAGAGAACAACCAGTGTGAAATGGTTTATTTTTTTCGCGGGTTTAGTATACTGAAACAATTAGGACATGAACTGAGCAGAATTTTCTAAAACCTGAAAGTAATGCAAATATAATAAGACCTACAAAAACTTCAAGAGCAAATTGAAATTTGTAGATATTCCTTTTCCCCTCAATGTGCAAACGCTTAATAAAACCCTGTATCTATGCAACAACTCTATGCAATGACAAAAGGGACAAAATTGCCCAAGTTGTTCGGCAGCCCTCTTCACATCAAACTCACCCTGATTTTTATTTCTAAGAATTTGCAAATGCTTGTGGAGCCATTACTGGGGACGACATAACTCCCCATTTTGTCCCTAGTAACGGTCTCACATGCAACTGCGAGATGAGACTCGCCCCAGATTTGTTCTTGATTTCTAAATTGAAAGAAAAATAGCGAATTGTCATTATCTTTTATCCCACCCACTCTTACCTTTGCCGGAATGGTCTTTCGTGGGTCCAGTTGATCCACTTGGTGTAGAACCTTGCTGTAACGTCCAGTCAAACTTATCACCGTCTTTTTCTTGGCGCCAGCTGCAGAATTGTTCCTTGGTAGAATCAAAGTTGCAGTTTCCTGAAACAGTGCAGACAAAACATGAACGTCCAAACCTGGATAAATAACCAGATTCCGGATGGGTGTCAACTCTCTGTTTTTAGCATAGCTGGTCTAGGACTTCATCTCCTTCAACTGTCACGGCAAACACTCAACATTTTGGCCAGTTGCCCCAAGAATTTACATTGTCCGGTCCATGTATTAACTTGACTCGACTAAGCAATTGCAAGGTACAAAGCGTCTTGCCCAAGACAGACACCGTGGGACCCCGGCGAATGCCTCGGATATAAATATACATTGTTATTTGAAGGGTATATACCGGTTAAGATATCTTTTCATAAAATTAAACATTTATTTATATCGGGGATGCTTTGTTGCGATACCAAGCCAACTCTAAATAAAGCAAACTACGTGAAGCTTATGGAGAGGGTAAGAAGGATAAACTAAGTCTAGGATGTCTTGCTTAGCAAGATCCACCCTCTCTTTGTTGATAGATGTCGTGTGGATTAGCACTGTATGGGTTATCAGTTCCCCTGTGCTCCTCCCCCATTATTTCTTTCCATAGTCCTTTTTACTTGTTCACCAAGCATACCATAACAGGATTGTGTATATACAATCGTAGGTAGCTGCATACTGCGCGTTTTGGATATCGAGCTTGCCAGGAAGAGGAAAAATACTCGCCCTCTCAATTATTTTTTCCGCGGAGTAATTCAACTTGCATCAAAGTGAAGAAATCATGCGAAAAAGATTTCAGTTATACAACATTATTATATAAGTTACCTATATTATATAAGTAACTTTGAACACCTATTTTCTGCCAATAACAATCAAAGGTTTATGACAACATTTTCTGTCAAAAAGTGTGCCCACCTTAATTACAAAACACTATTTTTATTCTAATTTGTTATCGATAACAGTCAGATCTTAAGTATAATGAATAGGAATTTGATATTAGAGCTGTTGGAAATGGATAAAATTTCTGCGCAGTCTGTTTTATAACTCTCTTTTCACAGTAAAATACTAGATAAAAATGGTTTCACAATTTACCACTGGATTCGAAAGGCGAGGTAAGAATCTCAACTCGCTTTGGCTGTTGTGTTTCCTCAATGTAAAAGCATTACACATATAGGGAAGTTAGGGAATCATGGAACAATCTTCAATCTTGCGCAAAATGACTGCAAGATGTCCGTTGAGATCTAAAGATAAGTGCATAATTACACTTCTCTTTGCAGCTCGAAATCATAGTCATGGGTGAAATTTATCGCTCTCTCTTGCTAAACATGGGTAATTAACTAAGTGCGTAACATTTATTTGCCCGTTATGAAAGTTTGCACACCATATGATTCCCTGGTTGGTCTCCTACCAGTACAGTGGTAAGTTCCAGAGACAATTTTAGGTAATAGCTTGTTTTGGCTGCCTAGGACTGGATGCACAGAAGCTAAAATGCTGCAGCAAAAGTGATAAAAGTGCTGATATGTAGAGGAACCCCTCACTTTCAACATGAGGAACAGTTGAAACATTTTGGCAACTTGCGTACGCTTGACACTTTATTTTCAAAAGAAATTTGCGGTTATGCAAGTTTAACCAATTTTAAACTGCAAAGTGGACAAAATATGTTTTCAACGTTGGACAATCTTGTTTAGCAACCCATAATTCGACAACAGTGAAATGTTTTTGCCAGTCTGAAACATATTAATGTCACTGAATATACACTTCACTGAAGGTAAATCTTAACATATCAATAAAAGAGGAAACTGTAAGAAACAGGTAAACTCATAAATTTCTTGCAGTAATTGAAAAATGCCTACGTAAGTAACACCGACGCTTAGACGTTTATTAGACGATTGCAATCACGGTCATGTTTGAAAAATGCAGAATGTATCGAGGAAAATAAATTTAAAAATAAAACCACACAATTACCAACCTTCAACTTCAGTATCCTTCGAAAGTGGTTTGGGGGCGCAGAAAGCAAATGGAACATACGTTAGTGAGTAAAGAAAAACCACCAAACAAATCAAAGCAAGACTCGTCATCGTCGAGTGCAATAGCTCTTTCTCTCTCGTCAAATTACCACCTTGTAGCAAACTCGTACAGCTATAAATTAAGCAGCTCAAGGTACAGAAGGTGTCTTATATCTAGATGGCGGTATTCAAAACACGTGGGGACACAGTTTGAAAGTATAACATTCCCTTGCAGTTGACAAAAACTGTTGAAAGGACATGATTGACGTATCAGTGGGGTTCTTTTCTTGCAGGAAAGGGAGAGGTTTTCGCATTTGCGATAAAACGATACGTCCTCATAACGCTGTACTCACAAATGTGGCAAAATTATGCCAAAAACCTTTTTTTTTTTACCTCCAACATAATCCTATTACAACTGTAAGCGTGAATGAGACGATTATGCGATCACTGACTCAGGAAACTGATGGAAAACGTTATTGTTGTCCCGGGCCTTGACCCTTACATTCTATGAAACTTCTAGAGAAACCACACACCGCATTGCTTTTTAATTGCCATTGCTTAATTCAATTTCGCGCTCATCGTGGAATTTGAAAAAAAAAAATTCATAAAAATCAAATCGAACCCTGCTGAACGGCTGCAGAGTAGCGGCATGGCAGAAATGTTAAACGTGTTCCTTTCAATGCGTTAAACTCACCCGCGAATAACTTAGTTAGTCCTGCTGTGGTACACGTCAAGTAAAAATTTATTTAACAAAAAGTTAATTCGTAGTCTCTGAAAGCACACAATACCAGAAAGAGACTTTTCATGAGGAGCTCGGGAAATACGGCTGTGTAATAACCCACGAATACTAGCTTAAACACTAAAATAACTTAACACCAAATATGGAGTGATTCCTTACGTTTCTTGTTGGTTATTGCTTTTGCCAACTTATGAGGCATTGTATGGAAAACCTATTTGCGAATACACTAGGTTAGCGTAAATGTGAAAAAGAGCAGCCTTTTTTCCATCTGCATGTGTAATATAAATATGAGTGACTGGGATTACTGCCTTGTCCCCGCAGCAACATAAAAGCTAAATTTTATTGCGGAAGGATTTATAAAACATAAAGTATAAATTAATATATAAGTGATTTCTAAAAGTTGCCATCCAATCTTACTTTTTAAATTAGCTAACGAGTTGTGTTTCCGTCAAGAGTGTATTCGCGCAACTATTGATCTTTCTTCCTATCTATTCTGTATGTCCTTCGTTTCTTACTTCCTGTCTATTCTGTGTCGGAAATTGTCCGATCAATCAGTGGCTTGTACAGCATATACGATTTCCATTGTTTGAAACACCGCGCCAAAAATTTCACTAGGGCAAAAGTAGGCCAGCAATTTTTCCGGTGTAAATTACTTAAATTAGGCTCTTTCTTCCGCAGCAATATAAAGTTAAGCTAGATTTTATTTCCTGTTCTTTTAGTTCTTTGGAAAGATCCAATTCTACAACGAAACGAAAGTTTCCGCCATTAGTGGAGCTGGAGAATTTAAGGATCTGTAAGACCACTATTTAAATGCATCTCACCACTAAGAACAGGTTTAATCCATTCAGGAAAAGGCTATTATTGATGATTTAAATTTATGAATCAATCTCAGTACCAAAAGGCTGTTGAATTAAATTTAAAACGTGGGTTCTTATAAGGCCTTGTTTTTCAAAAGAGTACTGTACATATTGTGTTTAGGAATTTGTTTCCTTTTTCCTTAAAAGGAGACAAATTGACAACAAAATATCGCGCAGATGTCATGGAACAAAAATGTCTTTCTTTTTCTTTATATTCTCTTATCGCATTCATATAAATTATACCACTTGATGCCAGAACATCANTAATTTGAAACAAAACCACTGATTCAAACGTAGGGGAGCATTGAACAACTCGATTGTGGTCGCTGAATCAATTCAATATCATATGTGGGTACAATTCAAGTCGTTATAGAGAGATACTTATTTTGTTTAGTATACCCGAGTTAAAACCATTGCCCGTAGCCTACGTTGCAGGCGTAATATGGGAAGGGGTTGGGAGCCAAAAAAACGTAAGGAAGAAGAACACGCCTGCTACGCAGACTATTGCCCGTTATCGTAGAATAAGCTAAAATGACATCTTTATGTATTGTCGAATACTTGCCTCCAGTTTCATCTGACACATTCTCAAATTCAAAAGACTCTCCGTTGCAAGACCTCTCCGTGAAATAAATGTCGTCAATGGCAATATCACCGGTGTAGCTTGATCCTGTTATGCCTTCAAATATTATCTGAAAACCAGCATAGGCACATGGAGATGTTAGTGACAGCTTCGTGAGTCAGTTGTTCTCTTAAATAGAGCAGTTTTCAAATGAGTGGCTTAAAACAAAAACCAAAAGAATCACTCTAGCCAGTCATAAAGGACATAGACAATCCAGTGACCCAGTAAAACTCGAACTAAATGCATGTACCTGACGCGAAGCGCGGAAAGACGAGTGAGTCAAGATTGATTTCGTTTTACCTCTGATTGCATTAAAAGTGGCGCCAGCTTTTAAGGTAATCGTGTAGCGTAGAAATGCAAAACCAGTTACTTTTACACTCTCAAAGCTTTCCATGGGTTTAACTTCAAAAAGAGTTCAACAGTTTATTCAACAAATAGCATGATTAGTCGCACTTTACCCATCATATGTTTAGTCAAATTGGAACGCAAGCGGCCACGAGTCCAATACAAAATCGAACTCCAAAAGACTGCGTTGCAATCCACTTGGTTCCATCATTATTATTTATATGTTAGCTTGAGCTGGATATGCACCTTCCACGTCATATGTTTAGTCAAACTGGAATGCAAGCGGCCACGAGTCCAATACAAAATCGAACTCCAAAAGACTGCATTGCAATCCACTTGGTTCCATCATCATCATTTAATATGCTAGCTTGAGCTTGATATGCCGGTTATAGTTTGCTAGAAATCGTGTTGCTGTTTTGACGTGCTTGTCACAACGTTTGTGCTGCAACCACAAATTTGGCCTAAAAAAGGTAAATTAACGACAGTTTTACGATTTAAGACGCTGGCATTTCGAGCTCGAGCCCTTCGTCAAAGTAAAGACTCAGTAAGTGAGCAGCTTTTCAGATTTCACAGAGTGAACTTACGTAGTAGTTATTTCCATAAACAGTAACGTTATCGGAATGCCATTCTGAGCCGGGCTGTCTTCCACTTTTTGACCATACATCCACGACTTGACCATGAATATGCTGATAAATGATCAAACTTCCAATCGTGTTGCCAATCATACTGTAGTGGAAGTGAAGGCATTTCACCCCACTGAAGGGCCCATTGCGGATCTGGGCATTATCACCTCTTCGTCGAGGGGATGAAGTTTCGATGTATGCGTAATAACCTACATGTAACAGGAGTAAAGCGACGTGTTAGTAACAACAGAGAACAACCAGTGTGAAATGGTTTATTTTTTTCGCGGGTTTAGTATACTGAAACAATTAGGACATGAACTGAGCAGAATTTTCTAAAACCTGAAAGTAATGCAAATATAATAAGACCTACAAAAACTTCAAGAGCAAATTGAAATTTGTAGATATTCCTTTTCCCCTCAATGTGCAAACGCTTAATAAAACCCTGTATCTATGCAACAACTCTATGCAATGACAAAAGGGACAAAATTGCCCAAGTTGTTCGGCAGCCCTCTTCACATCAAACTCACCCTGATTTTTATTTCTAAGAATTTGCAAATGCTTGTGGAGCCATTACTGGGGACGACATAACTCCCCATTTTGTCCCTAGTAACGGTCTCACATGCAACTGCGAGATGAGACTCGCCCCAGATTTGTTCTTGATTTCTAAATTGAAAGAAAAATAGCGAATTGTCATTATCTTTTATCCCACCCACTCTTACCTTTGCCGGAATGGTCTTTCGTGGGTCCAGTTGATCCACTTGGTGTAGAACCTTGCTGTAACGTCCAGTCAAACTTATCACCGTCTTTTTCTTGGCGCCAGCTGCAGAATTGTTCCTTGGTAGAATCAAAGTTGCAGTTTCCTGAAACAGTGCAGACAAAACATGAACGTCCAAACCTGGATAAATAACCAGATTCCGGATGGGTGTCAACTCTCTGTTTTTAGCATAGCTGGTCTAGGACTCCATCTCCTTCAACTGTCACGGCAAACACTCAACATTTTGGCCAGTTGCCCCAAGAATTTACATTGTCCGGTCCATGTATTAACTTGACTCGACTAAGCAATTGCAAGGTACAAAGCGTCTTGCCCAAGACAGACACCGTGGGACCCCGGCGAATGCCTCGGATATAAATATACATTGTTATTTGAAGGGTATATACCGGTTAAGATATCTTTTCATAAAATTAAACATTTATTTATATCGGGGATGCTTTGTTGCGATACCAAGCCAACTCTAAATAAAGCAAACTACGTGAAGCTTATGGAGAGGGTAAGAAGGATAAACTAAGTCTAGGATGTCTTGCTTAGCAAGATCCACCCTCTCTTTGTTGATAGATGTCGTGTGGATTAGCACTGTATGGGTTATCAGTTCCCCTGTGCTCCTCCCCCATTATTTCTTTCCATAGTCCTTTTTACTTGTTCACCAAGCATACCATAACAGGATTGTGTATATACAATCGTAGGTAGCTGCATACTGCGCGTTTTGGATATCGAGCTTGCCAGGAAGAGGAAAAATACTCGCCCTCTCAATTATTTTTTCCGCGGAGTAATTCAACTTGCATCAAAGTGAAGAAATCATGCGAAAAAGATTTCAGTTATACAACATTATTATATAAGTTACCTATATTATATAAGTAACTTTGAACACCTATTTTCTGCCAATAACAATCAAAGGTTTATGACAACATTTTCTGTCAAAAAGTGTGCCCACCTTAATTACAAAACACTATTTTTATTCTAATTTGTTATCGATAACAGTCAGATCTTAAGTATAATGAATAGGAATTTGATATTAGAGCTGTTGGAAATGGATAAAATTTCTGCGCAGTCTGTTTTATAACTCTCTTTTCACAGTAAAATACTAGATAAAAATGGTTTCACAATTTACCACTGGATTCGAAAGGCGAGGTAAGAATCTCAACTCGCTTTGGCTGTTGTTTTTCCTCAATGTAAAAGCATTACACATATAGGGAAGTTAGGGAATCATGGAACAATCTTCAATCTTGCGCAAAATGACTGCAAGATGTCCGTTGAGATCTAAAGATAAGTGCATAATTACACTTCTCTTTGCAGCTCGAAATCATAGTCATGGGTGAAATTTATCGCTCTCTCTTGCTAAACATGGGTAATTAACTAAGTGCGTAACATTTATTTGCCCGTTATGAAAGTTTGCACACCATATGATTCCCTGGTTGGTCTCCTACCAGTACAGTGGTAAGTTCCAGAGACAATTTTAGGTAATAGCTTGTTTTGGCTGCCTAGGACTGGATGCACAGAAGCTAAAATGCTGCAGCAAAAGTGATAAAAGTGCTGATATGTAGAGGAACCCCTCCCTTTCAACATGAGGAACAGTTGAAACATTTTGGCAACTTGCCTACGCTTGACACTTTATTTTCAAAAGAAATTTGCGGTTATGCAAGTTTAACCAATTTTAAGCTGCAAAGTGGACAAAATATGTTTTCAACGTTGGACAATCTTGTTTAGCAACCCATAATTCGAAAACAGTGAAATGTTTTTGCCAGTCTGAAACATATTAATGTCACTGAATGTACACTTTCACTGAAGGCAAATCTTAACATATCAATAAAAGAGGAAACTGTAAGAAACAGGCAAACTCATAAATTTCTTGCAGTAATTGAAAAATGCCTACGCAAGTAACACCGACGCTTAGACGTTTATTAGACGATTGCAATCACGGTCATGTTTGAAAAATGCAGAATGTATCGAGGAAAATAAATTTAAAAATAAAACCACACAATTACCAACCTTCAACTTCAGTATCCTTCGAAAGTGGTTTGGGGGCGCAGAAAGCAAATGGAACATACGTTAGTGAGTAAAGAAAAACCACCAAACAAATCAAAGCAAGACTCGTCATCGTCGAGTGCAATAGCTCTTTCTCTCTCGTCAAATTACCACCTTGTAGCAAACTCGTACAGCTATAAATTAAGCAGCTCAAGGTACAGAAGGTGTCTTATATCTAGATGGCGGTATTCAAAACACGTGGGGACACAGTTTGAAAGTATAACATTCCCTTGCAGTTGACAAAAACTGTTGAAAGGACATGATTGACGTATCAGT